GGAAAAGAAAAATATCTATACTTGTAGCTGCTGCTGTAGAAGTTGCTGTAGCAGCTGCTGTAGCTGGATCCGTTGCTGCGACTGTAACTGTTTCTTCTTCTGCAGCAGCAGCTGCTGCTGTAGCAGCTGCTGTAGTTGCTGCTGTAGTAGTTGCAGCTGCTGTTGTAGCAGCTGCTGCTGTAGCTGCATCCGTTGTTGCTGTTGCTGCTGTAGCTGCTGTAGCTGCTGCTGTAGTAGTTGCAGCAGCTGCTGTAGCTGCCGTAGCTGCTGCTGTAGTAGTTGCAGCAGCCCCTGCAGCCGCCGCAACAGTCGCAGCAGCCGCTGCAGCTGCACCCGTTGTTGCTGTAGCTGCTGTAGCTGCTGCTGTAGCTGCAGCGGCTTCTGCAGCTGCTGCAGCAGTCGCAGCAGCTGCTGCAGCTGCACCCGTTGTTGCTGTAGCTGCTGCTACAACAGCCGTAGCAGCTGCTGTAGTAGCTACAGCAGCCGCTGTAGTTGTTGCTGTAGCTGCTGTAGCTGCTGCTGCAGTCGCAGCAGCTGCTGTAGCTGCTGCAGCAGCTGATGTAGCTGCTGTAGTTGCTGCTGCAGTAGCTGCAGCAGGAGCTATAGTTGTAGCTGCTGCTGTAGTAGTCGTTGCAACGGGAGCTGTAACTGCTGTATTAGTTGCAGTAGGAGCTGTAACTGCTGTAGCAGGAGCTGTAGTAACTGCAGCAGGAGCTGCAGCTGTAGTAGTTGCAGCAGGAGCTGTAACTGCTGTAGCAGGAGCTGTAGTAGCTGCAGCAGCTGCAGCAGGAGCTGCAGCTGTAGTAGCTGCAGCAGGAGCTGTAGCTGCTGTAGTAGTTGCGCCAGGCGCACGACCAACCAGGCCTCACTCAGGCTGCGCCAGGTACACACACGAGCGCACATCACCACACCATCACACACGCACAAGAGTGCACATCACCACACCATCACACACACGAGTGTACACCATCACATCATCACACACACACACACGAGTGCACATCTCCACACTATCACAAACATACAGAGTGTACACCACCACACTATCACACACACACAGAGCACATCACCACTCCATCACACACACACAGAGTGCACACCACCACACCATCACACAGAGTGCACACCACCACACCATCACACACACAGAGTGCACACCACCACACCATCACACAAAGTGCACACCATCACACACAGAGTGCACACCACCACACCATCACACACACACAGAATGCACATCACCACACCATCACACACACACAGAGTGCACATCACCACACCATCACACACACGAACGCAGAAGTCCCTCTCGTCATGGTCACTCTCACACGGCTCACCCTCACACGGCTCACTCACACACACGGCTCACTCACACACACTCACACGCAGCTTGTGGTGCCGCCGCAGCGGAGCCGCTCCGTCGGGGCCGTGCCCACCGCCGTGACGCCGCCACCGGGGAGTGACGGCACCGACGCGGCGCGCCCCTCGCCGCCCCCCCCGCACAAATGCACGCACACCCCACGTAGAGCCGGGAGGGAAGGTCACCTGGCCGACAGGTTTTTATCCAGAAGCCCCTAATGGGATCAAGCTTCAAGAATAAAATTCTCACCTTTCAACTGCAACACACGCAATCATCATTAGGTGCTTGTGTTGCAGTCGAAACGTCGTGAGAATTTTATTGTTTTATATTTTTATTATTTTATTGTTTCCCTTCTACGTGACTTTACCGAAAGAACCAAGAATGTCACTTTAAGATGTTACCTGTTCATGTTTTTGTTTGTTGCGGTTGCACCCGAGTCAAGAGCCGCTTGGCTCACAGGGTTATATCTAATAAATGAAATGAAAATGAAATGAAAATGACATTGTCCTGGCACATTAACATAATTTATTCAATTTTGATTTAAAGCTTTCGTGACTGCAGGGATTCATATTCTTGGTTCTTTCGGTAAAGTCTCTCTCTAAGTTCACTAGGGTTTGTTTTCAACCTGATGACGATTGCTTGTGTTGCAATCGAAACGTCATATCCTACTATTTAATTTATTTTCTTTCGACGTGACTTTACCGAAAGAACCAAGAATTATAATTAATTCAGTTACATCGCCGCTCGTTGGGGGAGGGGATTGTGTTGAACCCCGCACATGACGTCATGTCACTTGCTGCCGCATGACGTCACGAGACACCAGGAAGCTGCCGATCCCCGCGCGCGCTCACTGAGATCCGAGGTGAGAAGTTCACATCGTGGTGGTTGTTGTTGTGGTGGTGGTTGTTGTTGTTTACCCAGGTAGAGCCTCGCTCCTTCTCTCTCTCGTAGGGACTTTAATTGAGTAGCAGCGACTATGGAATCGATGTCCAGGTTGGAACATTCCAACGCGGGGCCTAGCCGTGCGGGGCCTTGCCTCCTGCCCTCGCCAGATTGCATTTGCTTTAATTCTCTGTTTAACTCTTCGGTTCTTTCGGTAAAGTCACGTCGAAAGAAAATTAATTAAATAGGATATGACGTTTCAATTGCAACACAAGCAATCGTCATCAGGTTGAAAACAAACCCAAGTAAACTTAGAGAGAGACAACGCAGCCATGGAGACACAGACACACAAGCAGAGAGAGAATACAACATAGACTTTACCTAAAGAACCAAATAGTAATTCCTGCAGTCATGAAAAATCAAATCAAGTTCTCTGCTTAAGTTTAATTTGTCTTCACCTGGCTCACTACTTTTAAACTTTTTTTCTTTTAAATGTTTCTAGAGTTTTTTATTTTACCAAGGCCAAGGCCACTTGAGCTACACCGCTCTTTTTTCAGAAGCGACCTGCCCACAACAAAGTGTCTTATCAACGTGTGGAAATGTCTGTCGGTCAAATACTCTAAACGCGTGGTGATGTTGACTCTAAATGTGCAGGGATAAACCGGAGGATCCGGCGACCACGGGGAGAGGGACGCGCAAACTCCAAATATACATCCATAATACAGGTTTGGGTTAGATCGCGTAAATATGTAAATGTGTCGTTAAACCCGCCACCACCCGGACACAGCCAACTGGTAAGGGTTGTCACGTAAACAGAACGTGGCCAAGTCGTCACGAGTGTACAGCACACGGGTTGTGTTGGAGAGCCAAGCCACAACATTTACAATCTGAGTACGACGTTTTGCCAGTAATTAGTACCAGCTTCATCAGGCGACAGCCAAATGTTGTGGCTTGGCTCCGTGGGAACGTAAATCAGGTCGCTGGGTTCATAGCGCAGCACGCTAAACCTTGCACTACCGCTCCCCAATCACGCACAAACATCATTGGATGTACAGTAAAACCTTGGATTGCGAGTGTTTTGCAAAACGAGCAAAATTTTTAAATAAATATTAATTGTAGGTAGCAGAAGCATGGTAGTAACTGAAAGAAATAGACATGGAGCCAATGGCAACTAATTGATCAGAAGTGTAAATGAAGTGAATAATGTTTGGAAAAGACTTCCTTTTGGCTGCAGAGTAGGCACCTGGGTCATTTTAAATCTTTAAAACAGTCTTCCTCAGCAGCTGTCCCCCGATTTTTTCTTCCTGATGATGAACGCTTGTGTTGAGATCGAAACGTCGTAGTTTTTTGTTATTTTCTTGGAACCTATCTACGTGACTTTACCGAAAGACCCAAATAATATTATTTAAAGGGCTGTCTGTGCTGGCTTATACAGTTAAGGCTGGCCTGCCTATGATCCCTCCTCTATTGAACCAGACAAGATTGTATTAGAACCTTACAGATCCCTAAAATATCAGTACAGAATATAATCCGTGAGACTCTTTGCCAGGCGAGGCTGCATTGGTTGGGTCATCATTCCCGCATAACCAGACAACGCATGCTCAAGCAGCTTCTGTTAGTCCAGATATTAGGGGCTAAACAGGCATGAAATTGACGAGAGAAGAGATCGGAGGTTTGGAGGTGATCAGACCTGCTGATGACTGGTACCAGGAGTGTCAAGATTGGCCTCTGTGAAGGAGGCTGGTGATGTATGCTGCAGGGCAGTTGGAGGTATTTACTCTGCAACAACAATGATGTCAGAGGAGCGATGCTCACGTGAATGGGTGGAATGCTGGGTGCCGAAAACGCAGCAAGACAGCGGGGAGCACAGCTGGTGCATCTGTCAATCATCTCAGTCATCCCTTGACACCTGGATCATTCCCATGACCTGCTAACAAGTGACCCACACTTACATGGCATTAAATTGCACCTATCATGGGATGAGCACTGACAAGGTTGCTTCGAATTATTGATGAACGGTGGCTGTTTTGTTTATCTGTTACTGATTCATGTGAAATGTATGTAAGAGTTTATTTATTTGGGGAGCGGTGGCACAGTTATTTTACTGCATTATGAACTCGGCAAACATGATTGATAAGTGGTAGCTGAACTTATTGTGGGCCTCTGCGATGTTGATTGATTTTTTATTACTTGGTGATGTGAGGAAGCATTAATACTGAGCAGATAGAGGCAGCCAGGCATGTTTTTGAACACACCACCACCTTTTTACCGTGCCACTGTGTGACAATATAAAGTTTGTATTTGCTGTAAAGTATATGAACTCTTTTGAACACGGAGGTTAAATCAAAACAATAGTTTATTTCAGTTTTCCTCTGGAACTTTTTATGAGAATGGAAACAGTCAGGAAATTAACACGGCACATATGCACCTGAAGTTAGATCTGTTCATCTGAGCATTCAATTATAGGGCGTCCAATCATTTATGACCATTTGTCCTGTCATTGTGTTCCTTAACAGATCGTGTGATGAATTGGGAAATCTTTTTCACTATATCATGAATATATGAATAGGTATAGATGTTAAGTCATGTGTGACTGTATATATGCATTCCTCGATACTGACATAGATGGTGTGGATTTTTTTTCTGTCTACAGCTGGCGCTTCCTCTACAGAATTGGTGTGATGGAGCAACGGCACTCAGCGCAGCTCTGTACAAAAAGGCAACAATGTGACCAGTATGTAAACAGCACGGATCGTACTGGAAACTTGACACAGCATCAGAGAACACACATAGAAGAGAAACCTTTCAAGTGCACTGTGTGTGAGAAGGCATTTGCACAGTCATCAGGTCTTCAGAGGCACCAGAGAACACACACAGGAGAGAAACCCTTCAGGTGCACTCTGTGTGGGAAGGCGTTTACAGACTCATCACATCTTAAATTACACCAGAGAACACACACAGGAGAGAAACCCTTCAAGTGCACTGTGTGTGAGAAGGCATTTGCACAGTCATCCGTTCTTCAGAGGCACCAGAGAACACACACGGGAGAGAAATCTTTCTGGTGCATACTGTGCGGGAAGGCGTTTGCATTGTCATCACATCTTCAAAGACACCAGAGAACACACACGGGAGAGAAACCCTTCAGGTGCACTGTGTGTGATAAGGCGTTTGCACAGTCATCAGATCTTCCAAGACACCAGAGAATACACACGGGAGAGAAATCTTTCTGGTGCATACTGTGCGGGAAGGCATTTGCATTGTCATCACATCTTAAATTACACCAGAGAACACACACAGGAGAGAAACCCTTCAAGTGCACTGTGTGTGAGAAGGCATTTGCACAGTCATCTGTTCTTCAGAGGCACCAGAGAACACACACGGGAGAGAAATCTTTCTGGTGCATACTGTGCGGGAAGGCGTTTGCATTGTCATCACATCTTCAAAGACACCAGAGAACACACACGGGAGAGAAACCCTTCAGGTGCACTGTGTGTGATATGGCGTTCGCACATTCATCACATATTCAAAGACACCAGAGAACACACAGGCATCAGAAGATCCTCAAGAAGTGGAGTCTGAAATCGACTTGTGAAAGTAAAAGTGCTGCAATGAGCCCATCCCTCATGAAACAAGAACCAGAAGAAAATCCCAGCTTGGACACTTTGAAAGGTATCAAGGTGAAATATGAAGAGGTGAAGGTGAAATGTGAAGAAGTGACAGTGAAGAGCGAAGAAGTGAAGGTAAAATGTGAAGATGAAGATTCAACTCCAAAATCAGACCTTCACATCGATGGAGGCAACGTAAAGCAGGAGGAGAATTCTGACTCTGAGGCAGAGCGAGGCAACTCCCCAAAGTTTGTGGAAGTGGAGGTGTGGCTGGACTTCATAGACGATACAAAGTCAAATGGAGACCCGGTAGATGTGTAAGCTTGAGACATGTAAGCTCAAATATTTTCACCTTCGTCACAGGCCTTAATGAAAATAATGTGAAGTTGAACACTCAATTCCTAGGTTCAACCTGCAGCCTAAGAGTGGCCAGAGTTTGTGGACCTGTCGGTTTGGTAGATCTCTAATCAGGAGCGAGAGCCAATAAGCTTCCAAGCATTCACTGTTATAATAATAATTGCATTTATATGGTGCTTGCTTAATTGCCTCAGCAACTCGGAGTTTTGTATCAAATCACAAACACTCGAAGGGCAGCTGCCTCTGCGTGGCATAAAGTGGCCCTGCACCAGCCTGCATGTGGGCATGAGTCTGTCAGTAGGGGGCGATGATTGATGTGTTATCTCCGTCATGTAATTTCTGGATAATATTTGGAATTACCCATATTTTGACAATGACAGCAACATGCAATGACCTATGTGTTTTGAATGACACAAGAGTATGTTTTACATCCACTGTTACGCAGACCGTGCATATTTTGGTTCATGTTACTGGAGTAGCCAGGGGTGCCTGTCGAATTTGAACCTTGAACCTCTGCAATAAATATAGAATGTGCTACCACTTGGCTTCCCTCAATCTGAGTGTAGGCATGCCAGACTGAATGTTTCTAACTGGCGCAGATGTTCCATTTAGGTCCACGTTTCACATGCCTATAAAGTGGAGGGCATGACTGGCCGAGAAGACCCGAAGCTTCGTGCGGATCGACAGACCAGGTAGCTTCCACACAGCAATGCGCAGCTGATGAAAAGACTGCTGCCCGACTGTTTTGGACCTCCCACACTGTGTGCACACATTTTCAGTGTAGACATGTTCTGTGCACACAATGTACACAACGTACACACGCACAGTGTACCTGCACTGTGTGCACAGTCTACACATACAGAGTCTATACACAAACACATTAACAAGAACAACAACCGCCATTCGCCACCAAGTGGTGCTGACGTCACTACGGCGCTTGTACCAGGCTACGTGCATGTTAAGGCCACGTGAAGTGTCGAACGCCCGCCGGCAGGAGATCACAGGGCAGACTCAGGTGCCATGGAATGACTACTGAGATGACTGACCGAAGCACTAACTGCCCCCTACTGTGCCAACAGTGTACATACAGTGTATACACAGTGTACACACAGTTTGTACACTGTGTACACAGTGTATATACACAATAATGTTCACTTTGTTGAGCTCACGCACCCAAGGGGTCAATGTTCAAGTGAGGGAGCAATGGGATAGGAATCTAAATAAACTAGACCTCGAAACCCTGCTCTCTGACGTCAACACTCCGCATTAACTCATCGGCGTAAAACGCGAGGGGGAGGTGTACCCCGCGAGTAACGGCATGTCACCTGCTGCCGCGTGACGTCACGAGATACCTGGAAGCTTCTCCACGCGCGCCCTCACCGAGATCCGAGGTGAGAAGTTCACATCGTGGTTGTTGTTTACCCAGGTAGAGCCTCGCTCCGTCTCTCGTAGGGATATCAATTGAGTAGCAGCGAGTATGGAATCGATGTCCAGGTTGGAACATTACAATGCGGGGCCTTGCCTCCTGCCCTCGCCTGATTGAAATTGCTTTAATTATCTGCTTAATATTCTTTCGGTAAAGTCACGTAGAGCAAACATTTTTACAAAAAAACTACGACGTTTTGATCGCAACACAATCGTCATCAGGAGCAAAAAGAGAGGGAAAGCTGCTTAGGCAGGCTGTTTTGAAGGTTTGGAATGGGTGTAGCCCAAGGGTCTTAAACGAAGTGGTTGGGGCTAATGATGTTAAAGTGGTAAATTTGCATGTAAATGTAAGATCGGAGAGCTACTTCCACAAGGAGGGTGCAGAGGTGTCCATTGTATTGTGAGAGATTAGCATGTCAATATAAGATCGCAGAGCCGCCACCACATCGAGGACACGAGCGACGGCCGTGTTAGTGTGAGACATTTAACCTGTTAATGTAAAATCGGAGAGACCATGTTATATCTTCTGATGATCTGGTAATGGCTACTCAATGAGATGGCGTTAGAGAATCTTGTTTCGTGCCTTGATAATTCCATCATGAAATAGGGCCTTAATACGTTCCACAAAAATGAATCGCCTGCCTGGGAATTTCATGTCATACAACACTACATCTGCTCAACTCTCCTTGAATAATCAGGCAGTTCTACAAGTGGTTGAGCTCCCATACCTCGTTAATGTGTTCAAGACCAGCTCTGGTTTGGCAGCCAAAGTCTCACTTAAAATTTGTCGAATAGTATTGTTTCATTAGACTTTGTAACACTGTGTAGAAGCTGCCTGGACTTTTGCTCCATACAAACCTGTGAGTGTGCATCGCCAAGGTCTAGTCCATCTGAGACCATCCCTCCCCCTGCCATACTGGCATCGCACCCGCCCCTCACCCTTTGTCCTGCGGATGGTGGGCGCACAGGACGCGCCACATAGCCATTCCAGGCTGGACCTGAATGGGTTGCGTGGTTCACCAAGCCACCAGGCACTTGTTAGCGAACACCACCACCAAGGCTCGTTCCATGCGTGATATCAATATAAAATATCTGTAAGGATGCCCCCCAATAGACTACCGTGGAAGTCAACTGGGCACGTCCCACTGGGCGAAGACCCCAGGGCCAGCTCAGGACACGCTGGCAGGACTACAGTGAGGGAAAAAAAGTATTTGATCCCCTGCTGATTTTGTACGTTTGCCCACTGACGAAAAAATGATCAGTCTATAATTTTAATGCTAGGTTTATTTGAACAGTGAGAGACAGAATAACAACAACAAAAATCCAGAAAAAAACGCATGTCAGAAATGTTATAAATTGATTTGCATTTTAATGAGGGAAATAAGTATTTGAGCCCTCTGCAAAACATGACTTGGTACTTGATGGCAAAACCCTTGTTGGCAATCACAGAGGTCAGACGTTTCTTGTAGTTGGCCACCAGGTTTGCACACATTTCAGGAGGGATTTTGTCCCACTCCTCTTTGCAGATCTTCTCCAAGTCATTAAGGTTTCGAGGCTGACGTTTAGCAACTCGAACCTTCAGCTCCCTCCATAGATTTTCTATGTGATTAAGGTCTGGATAATGGCTAGGCCACTCCAGGACCTTAATGTGCTTCTTCTTGAGCCACTCCTTTGTTGCCTTGGCCGTGTGTTTTGGGTCATTGTCATGCTGGAATACCCATCCACGACCCATTTTCAATGCCCTGGCTGAGGGAAGGAGGTTCTCACCCAAGATTTGACAGTACATGGCCCCGTCCATCGTCCCTTTGATGCGGTGAAGTTGTCCTGTCTCCTTAGCTGGAAAAAACACCCCCAAAGCATAATGTTTCCACCTCCATGTTTGACGGTGGGGATGGTGTTCTTGGTCATAGGCAGCATTCCTCCTCCTCCAAACACGGCGAGTTGAGATGATGCCAAAGAGCTCCATTTTGGTCTCATCTGACCGCAACACTTTCACCCAGTTGTCCTCTGAATCATTCAGATGTTCATTGGCAAACTTCAGACGGGCATGTATATGTGCTTTCTTGAGCAGGGGGACCTTGCGGGCGCTGCAGGATTTCAGTCCTTCACGGCGTAGTGTGTTACCAATTGTTTTCTTGGTCACTATGATCCCAGCTGCCTTGAAATCATTGACAAGATCCTCCCGTGTAGTTCTTGGCTGATTCCTCACCGTTCTCATGATCATTGCAACTCCACGAGGTGAGATCTTGCATGGAGCCGCAGGCCGAAGGAGATTGACAGTTCTTTTGTTTCTTCCATTTGTGAATAATCGCACCAACTGTTATCACCTTCTCACCAAGCTGCTTGGCAATGGTCTTGTAGCCCATTCCAGCCTTGTGTAGGTCTACAATCTTGTCCCTGACATCCTTGGAGAGCTCTTTCGTCTTGGCCATGGTGGAGAGTTTGGAAACTGATTGCTTCTGTGGACAAGTGTCTTTTATACAGGTACCAAGCTGAGATTAGGAGCACTCCCTTTAAGAGTGTGCTCCTAATGTCAGCTCGTTACCTGTATAAAAGACACCTGGGAGCCAGAAATCTTTCCCCTCATTAAAATGCAAATCAATTTATAACATTTTTGAGATGCGTTTTTCTGGATTTTTTTGTTATTCTGTCTCTCACTGTTCAAATAAACCTACCATTAAAATCATAGACTAATCATTTCTTCGTCAGTGGGCAAACGTACAAAATCAGCAGGGGATCAAATACTTTTTTCCCTCTGTATGATAGCAGTGCATACTGACTGGTGGTACCTGCTATCACTACAGCAGTGCATACTCATTGTGGTGAGCCCTGCTATGTTTACAGCTATGCATACTGCTGTGGTGGTACCTGCTATAATAACAGCAGTGCATACTGACTGTGGTGGCACCTGCTATGATTACAGCAGTGCATACTGTGGTGGTACCTGCTTTCACTACAGCAGTGCATACTGACTGTGGTGGTACCTGCTTTCACTACAGCAGTGCATACCAACTGTGGTGGTACCTGCTTTCACTACAGCAGTGCATACTGACTGGTGGTATCTGCTACGATTACAGTAGTACATATTGACTGTGGTGGTACCTGCTATGATAACAGCAGTGCATACTGACTGTGGTGGTACCTGCTATGATTACAGCAGTGCATACTGACTGTGGTGGTACCTGATTTCACTACAGCAATGCATACCGACTGTGGTGATACCTGCTATCACTACAGCAGTGCATACTCATTGTGGTGGGCCCTGCTATGTTTACATCTATGCATACTGCTGTAGTGATACCTGCTATCACTACAGCAGAGTGCATACTGACTGTGGTGGTACCTGCTTTCACTACAGCAGTGCATACTTACTGTGGTGGTACCTGCTATGATAACAGCAGTGCATACTGACTGTGGTGGCACCTGCTATGATTACAGCAGTGCATACTGTGGTGGTACCTGCTTTCACTACAGCACTGCATACCGACTGTGGTGGTACCTGCTTTCACTACAGCAATGCATACCGACTGTGGTGATACCTGCTATTACTATAGCAGTGCATACTGACTGTGGTGGTACCTGCTTTCACTACAGCAGTGCATACTGACTGTGGTGGTACCTGCTATGATAACAGCAGTGCATACTGACTGGTGGCACCTGCTATGATTACAGCAGTGCATACTGTGGTGGTACCTGCTTTCTCTACAGCACTGCATACCGACTGTGATGGTACCTGCTTTCACTACAGCAGTGCATACCGACTGAGGTGGTACCTGCTTTCACTACAGCAGTGCATACCGACTGAGGTGGTACCTGCTTTCACTACAGCAGTGTATACCGACTATGGTGTCACCTGCTTTATCTACAGCAGTGCATACTGACTGTGGTGGTTCCTGCTTTCACTACAGCAATGCATACCGACTTTAGTGGTTCCTGCTTTCACTACAGCAGTGTATACTGACTGTGGTGGTATTGCTTTCACTACAGCAGTGCATACTGTGGTGGTACACATGATTACAGCAGTGCATACTGTGGTGGTACCTATGATTATAGCAGTGCATACTGACTGGTGGTACCTGCTATGATAACAGCAGTACATACTGACTGTGGTGGTCCTGCTATCAATACAGTAGTACATGCTGACTGTCTTACCTATGAAAGGTAAATGTGTCAATGTGTGTCTGTTCGAAATGTTTAGCATACTTCCCGACATGCAACAAACTTGAAATTTGGCATGTGGTTAGCTTCCGAACAGTACACAATGTAAAAACTATAAAAATAGACTTTATATTTTGGGGGGGCGGGGAATGATCATGAAGTGTGTGGCGTCAATCCGATATCTGGTGAGCGTTTGTGGTATCGATTAAATGGGAATAGGCCGATTCTAAATAAATCTATAACCTTCGATTCCTTTGTGCAATTTAAAGAATCCAATCTTGGCACGCGAGCTTAAGTTTTGTTTTTTTCCACCGCGCATTGGGTTTGTTCATTTTTTATTAATTAGGTAAGTTTTGAGAAGTTTTAAAATGTATTTTTCCCCCAGGCAATGCCGGGTATTTCCCGCTACAAGCAGTATATATCGACTCTATGGCACAAAGTACTCACCTGACAGAGTGCCATGATGAGGCCTAGTCTTGTGAAGAGCCCCCGGCCTTGCCTAGAGTACCCAGCCGATGAAGGCTGGGGGCTGGGCAGCTCCCCCCCCCCCCCCCCCGTCCTACGATAATCCTGTCTAAGCGGAATAGCTTATCCCCACCGCGAGGCTTGGGGCGTGCCGCCCGGAAAAATTTTTTCGGCCTAAGCCCCACCGTCAGCGCGCCAAATGCCTCGCAAGCGCACGTACACAGAGGGACATACAGACGGACAGAGAATGACGTTTATAGGTAAGATATGCGATCTAACCCAAAAAACCTCTAATGGATGATGTTGGTTGCGAAATCCTACGTGTTAAACATTCATTTTAAAGATACTAGGCCTTCCAGGTATATTTCTGACCACTTTCCTCTCATTTTGTGCCTTAACAGCCCGTGCAATAAAATGGGGAATCTTTTTCACTACATAATGAATATTTGAATAAGTATAGACATGCAATTTATGTCTAACTATATATGCATTTTTCTGTACCTCGATGGTGAAGTAAATGATGTGGATATTTATCTTTTCTATTTTACAGCTGACGCTTCCTCTGCCACTTTGCTCTGCAAAATTGGTCTGATGGAGTATAGGCACTTAGCACAGCTCGGTACAAAAATGCAACAATGCAACCAGTGTGCATACAGCACGGATCATACTGGAAACTTGACAGCACCAGATAACTCACAGGAGAGAAACCATTCAAGTGCACTGTGTGTGAGAAGGCATTTGTTCTGTCAACACATCTTCACACCCACCAGAGAATACACACAGGAGAGAAACCCTTCAAGTGCAGTGTGTGTGGGAAGGCATTTTTAGATTCAACTAGTCTTCAAAGACACCAAAGAACACACACAGGAGAGAAACCTTTCAAGTGCACTGTGTGTGAGAAGGCATTTGCACGGTCATCATCTCTTAAGAGCCACAGGAGAACACACAAAGGAGAGAAATCCTTCAAGTGCACTGTGTGTGAGAAGGCATTTGCACAGTCTAAAGTTCTTCTGATCCACCATAGAATACACAGGGGAGAGAAACCCTTCAAATGCACTGTGTGTGGGAAGGCATTTTCAGATTCATCTACTCTTAAAAAACACCAGAGAACACACACAGGAGAGAAACTTTTCAAGTGCACTGTGTGCGGGAATGGGTTTGCAGAGTTCTAAAATCTTAAAAGACACCAGAGAACACACGGGCATCAGAAGATCCCCAAGGAGTGGTGTGAAATCGGATTGTGAAAGTCAAAGTGCTGCAATGAGCCCACCCCTCATAAAACAAGAACCACGTGAAAATCCCAACTTGGACACTTTGAAAGATAACAAGGTGATATATGAAGAGGCGAAGGTGAAATGTGAAGTAACAGTGAAGAGCGAAGAAGTGAAAGTAAAAAGTAAATATGAAGATTCAACTCCAAAATCGGATCTTCACATCGATGGAGGCAACGTGAAGCAAGAGGAAAATTCTGAGGCAGAGCGAGGCAACTCCCAGCAGTTTGTGGATGTGGAGGTGTGGGTGGACTTCTTCGACAATACAAAGTCAAATGGAGACCCGGTGGATGTGTTAGCTTGAGAAAATGAAGCTCCAATAGATGCAACTTTGTCACAGGCCTTTAATGAAAAAATATGGAGTTGAACACTCAATTCTTAGGTTCAACCTGCAGAGTAAGAGTGGCCAGTATTTGTGGATCTGTGGGATGGGTAGATCTCTAATCAGAAGTGAGAGCCAATAAGCTCCCATTTGCATTTATATGGTGCTTGCTTAATTGCCTCAGCAACTCGGAGTTGTGTATCATATTACAAACACTCGAAGAGCACCCCCAAGTGGAAGCCTCTGTGTGGAATAAGGTGACCCTGCACCAGCCTGCATGTGGGCACGAGTCTGTCAGTAGGGGGCGATAATTGTAATTTCTGGATGATGTTTGAAATTACCCACATTTTTACCATGACACCAACCTTTGCGTTTTGAGTGACAATAGTATGTTTTACATCTACTGTTAATCAGACAGTGCATATTTTGGTTAATGTTACTGGAGTAGCCAGGGGTGCCTGTCGGATTTGAACCTCTGCAATAAATGTTCATAACCAGCGCAGATGTTCCATTTAGAGGGGTCCACGTTTCACATGTTTGTAGAAGGGAGGGCATGACTGTGGCCGAGAAGACCCGAAGCTCCGTGCCGAGCGACAGAACAGGTAGCTTCTGCGGGGGCTGCTGCCCCCCGCCTCCTCCGTCGCAATCGTACTACTACCCCCCGACTGCTCTGTTGGGTTCGGGCTACCGACCTCCAACTCCTCGCCCCCCTGTGCCCCTGACTTTGTTGCTGCCCGCGTAGGCGTGATTCGATTGGTAGGGCCGATGGCTTTACGCTTACGACGCGCTTCGCGGGCTCAGTAGCGGGTGTGCTGCGGTGAGCGCGCTCGCGAAGCAAAACCCCGTCTCGTGCGCGAACGAAAGGGTACAGCGCGCCGACGCGTGACTCCGCGGCCGGCGCTTAGCCCCCCGGGATCCGTTCGCATACACGCCCTACGTGCCCAGGCGCTAACAAACCCGACTCCGCTACCTGCCCAACTCCGTACACCAATCACACGCGAGGGGCTTGGGGTCAGGGGTTAGAGGGCAGGGGTGTCCACCGTACGCGCGCCACTGATTGGAGGGTGTCACTCCGCCCCGATTTAAAGGCCGTTTAAACAGCCACGCGTGTACGCGAACACCAGATGCTACACCCTCCTATTCGCCGTAAACGGCCGCGTATGCACGCGAACACAAAGCACTCCACCCTCCTCTTCACACTCACAACGGCCACACGACACCATTTATCCTCTACTGGCAGTTTTATTCTCTGCGAATATCCCGCTAAACTGCGCGTGTTTATGTGGGTCAGCAGACTCTAGCTTATCCCTCGGGGATCCTGGACTCAATTTATCCTGCCTGCCTCTCCACTCTGTACCCTCTGATTAATTAGCCCACACTCACCTTACTCCCAATCTGATGCTACAGAAGCTGTGGACTGCGATGCCGTGCGTCGACTCCGTGGAGAGTTGGGCCTGGCTGCGTTGAACTTCGTCACACGGACGACTCGAACGGCTGGCTCCAACACCCCGCTGACTTTGATGCTTTGAAGGACTCTCCCTCTACTACCTGAATCCCCCTCCTTTTATCCTACCTATAACAAAGGCATTCTGCTGTTTTGCCCCCCCCTTGGCCTCCTGTCCAATCAGCGGCCTGGATTTTCCCGCCCTTTTTATAGTCGGATCCTAGCTCTGGTGACGTCGCCGCAGTGGTCTCCTCGACGTCCACTTTCTGTTCTTCCCACTACTATCCTACTGACCTGTGTTGCGTGTGTGTGGTTCCACTCGCGGTGGCTAAACAGCCCCTGCCGTGACCATGCAATTTTAATATCAGGTCACGGCGCCGCAGTGCACGTCAGCCTCGGGGGTAGGTCGCCCAATTTCCCGGCCGCAGGAAACCATGAAGCTTGATCCCATTAGGGGCTTCTGGATGAAAACCTGTCGGCCAGGTGACCTTCCCTCCCGGCTCTACGTGGGGTATGTGTGCATTCATGTGGGGGGCGGCGAGGGGCGCGCAGCGTCGGCGTCGTCACTCTCCGGTGGCGGCGTCACGGCGGTGGGCACGGCCCCGACGGAGCGGCTCCGCTGCGGCGGCACCACACTTCCACTCAGCATTACGCAGCTGATGAAAAGATGCCACCCGACTGATTCGGACCACCCACACTGTGTACACACATACTCAGTGCAGACATTGTGTACATGGACACACACCATGTGTACATGGACACACAGTGTATACACACTGTTCACTTTGTTGTTGTGCTCACGCACCCAAAGGGTCTGTTAAAGAGAGGGAGCAATGGAAAAGGAATCTAAATAAACTTAAACTCTCACCTTGCTCTCTCAGTCTCTGACGTCATCACTCCACATAGCCTCGGCGTGAGATGCCAGGGGGAGGTGTCCCTCGCTAGTTACGTCATGTGACCAAAGTATTCACACCCTCCGCGTTCTTTAACGTGACGTCACGTCTAGTTGTTGACCGCCGATTTTCGATCCAGCAAAATCCTGCTCTGGGCAAATCTGCGCCAAGCCACTGCCGGCTCATTAACATAAGATATTCTGAAATAGTTCCGAGTTCATTGCAACGGGTTCAGCAGTTCTGCCTTATCACTCCGACATGGACATGGCTCATTAACATAATTTATTAAATTAAACCCCATTCTCATTGGGGGCAGTGTTGTTTCCCGCCAAGTGACGTCATGTCACCTGCTACCTCGTGACGTCACGAGATATCAGGAAACTGATGCTCCGCGCGGGCACTCGCATCCGTGGTGAGAAGTTCACATCGTGGTGGTTGTTGTCGTGGTTGTTGTTGTTTACCCAGGTAGAGCCTCGCTCCTTCTCTCTCTCGTAGGGATATCAATTGAGTAGCAGCGAGTACGGAATCGATGTCCAGGTTGGAACATTACAACGCGGGGCCTAGCCATGCGGGGCCTTGCCTCCTGCCCTCGCCTGATTTCATTTGCTTTAATTCTCTGTTTAAGTTTAATTTGTCTTCACCTGGCTCACTACTTTGAAACTTTTTTTATTTTAAATAGTTCTACAGTTTTTTTTAAATTTTTCTATGCCAAGCCCACTTGAGCTACACCGCTCTTTTTCAGAAGCGACCTGCCCACAACAAAGTGGCTTATCAACGTGTGGCAATGTATATCGGTCAAATACTCTAAACGCGTGGTGATGTTGACTCTAAATGTGCAGGGAAAAACCGGAGTATCCGGAGGAAAATCCACGCGAGAGACACGCAAACTCCAAATATACATGAAATGTAGACGTGTCGTTAAACCAGCTACCATCTGACAGCCAATTAGTAAGGGTTTGTCATGTAAACAGAACGTGGCCAATTCGTCACTAGTATAGCACACCGGTTGTGTGTTGGAGAGCCAAGCCACAGAATTTTCAATCTGAGTACGACGTTTCGTCAGTAATTACAACCAGCTTCATCAGGCGACAGCCAAATGTGCCTTGACTCTCTGGGAGTATAAATCAGGTCGCTGGGTTTATAGCGCAGCACGCTAACCATTGCACTACCGCTCCCCACTCATGCACAACATTATCATCAGAAGTATAGTTTTTATTCAGGACTAGCTAAGTTACCCGGCTTCGTACGGGCGTCGGTAATCAAACATGAAGGGTAATATCTAGCCATGCTGGGTTTATTATAATTATTGAATTCTGCCAATAAAGTCGATAAATGTGCGTATTTTTTTTTATTTAAAGCTTTCGTGACTGCAGTAATGTCAGTAATGTCACGTTGAAGGGAAACAATAAAATAATAAAGTATATTTTATTTTATAAAATAATAAAATAAAATATACTTTATTGTTTTATTATTATTTTATTGTTTCCCTTCAACGTGACTTTACTGAAAGAGCTAAGTATATGTGTGTATTTTGTCACGGTGTTTTGGTTGTGTTATACATTGGCGGGGCTTGTTAGTTTCATGAGGACAACATTTACATTTGTTACCCTTGGTGAGCTTCAGGATAGACGGTGTTTGATGTTTTGCCATCTGGTGGGTTTATTCGAGTGAAGCTTAAATTTTGACATACATGACAGAAAATTGGTGGAAGAGCTCTTTGCATCTCAAGAAGAGATTGAAGCTGGCGTTTCACACCATGACCCTGAAGGCAAAGAAGTCCATTGCGAAAACCTTTTATGTTGGCAAGCCTGTTGCTGGGTCAGTTTGGCGAAGTAGGAAATGGTAACCATCATCAATTTGCCAGAAAATCGGTGTACATTGAAGAGCATCATAATATCTGTGTTTTTGCAATTCTGTGTAGGCTATTGTTCTTCAGTTGCATGACGATGCCTCGAGTTCCTTGTTGTTTAGCAGTCAGAATGACAGCGACTTCAGATGTTATGAGTGCATTTAAGTGGCACTCATGTTGACCGTGTTGAGTTTAATCGGCATGAATGACAACATTGTACTCTGAAGTCATCTTCTCCATGGCACATTTGAAACTGTGAACATAAAGAGTTTTCCTTATGGAGCATGTCTTGCAACAGCAATAGGACTTGAATCTTGGTGTTGATGACATTGTTGCAATGCTGGTGAGCCTGTCTAGTATTGTCAGACTTGAAAGATTTTGATTTAAAGCTTTCGTGACTGCAGGGATTCATATTCTTGGTTCTTTCCGTAAAGTCACATAGAAGGGAAAAAATAAAATAATAAAAATATTTTTATTATTTTATTGTTTCCCTTCTATGAAAGTAGATCTCCAGGAATGTAGGTGTAGGTCATTAGGTAGTGGCAGCAGACTGCCAATGCGATTATGTACCTGGCCTTGCACTTTAAATGTGGGCATGTAGCCAGATGTTGGGATGAGTTAGTTGGTTCCTTAAGATGTGATTTGGAAGCATTAGTTCTGTCTTGTATTGTTCTTTCGGAAATGACTTGCATAGGTAGTGTTGGCAGTTATCAATACAGTACATGAATCGGTTCGGGATGGTCATTAATTGGAGGCAGCTGAACCATTTAACAGTGCCAGCATGGTCCTGGAGGTCTCCTTTCCATGCCTTTGCGTGCAAATAGCTGCCTGCAAGCAGGAGACATGGAACCAATATAAACTAATAGATCAGAAGTGTTAAGTGAGGAATGTATGGAATAGAAGACTTTCGTCTTCACTGCAGGGTAGGCACCTGGTTGCAGTCATTGTAGTGCTGTTTACAAGCTGCCTTACTTCTTGTTGGACTGGAGTTTGATAATTAGCTGTGGCAGCAGCCATTTGTGCTGTTGAGTTGCATTCGCTGCAGGTGCAGGCATAGCATCACTGGTCGCATGCTGTCTTGCTTCTTTCTGTACTAGAGTTTCATAATCTGTAGGTGCAGCCATCGCAGCACTTGGAGCATGCCGTCTTGCTTCTTGGTGTTCAGGAGTGTCATCAATAGGTGCAGCACTGGCAGCATGCTGTCTTGCATCTTATGTATTCAGGAGATTCATAGCTGTAGGTGCAGCCATTGCAGCACTTGTACATATGGCATCAATTATTGTAATCGGCTTTGGTGAAGAGAAGTGCATGTTTTCCGCAAGGAACATTTTAGGTGGAGGTAAAAGTTAGTAAGCAGAAAAAAAGAGTAAATGAATGTGTGAATGAATGCTATATAGAGATTGTTAATGAAATGATAGTTGAATGTGTGATCGTTGTAGGAGTGTGAAGATATAGCCGCAAAGGAAGGAAGTATAAGTCTGTAAGTTGTTGGAGGAAGTAATGTTTTGTAGTGATTGAAGTGGGTAAGAATAGTATGTGTGTGGTGGTGTGTGTGCATACGTAATTAGGTAAACGCGAGTGTGTGTATGTGCATGCTTTTTATTCCTTACTAGGCGATGTAGCCTTGATGTATTTAGTCCTGCCTGTTGTATATGTTGTGTCGAAGTAGGTCGATAGTGCTTGTACGTAGATGTAGGTATTTTTGAATAGCACATGGTTTTCATAAACATTGCAGTATGTTAGAGGTGAGCCGTGCGCTTTCAGGGAGGACAGCAAGGAGTCGGGAGTGGATGAATTTGGTGGCAAATATGCAGGCCTAATAATATGGAAGGATAACGTGGTAAATGAGAAAAAATATAGCAGTGTAGTGCAGACACTTATGTTGTGTTGAGTGCATGGAAATGTAGTATATGAAATGTCATGTGTTTGTGTGGCAAACCGGAAGTCGTGATAATGCCCCAGGCTTTAACACATGGCGAGAGAGAGGGGGGTCGCAACGGCAGGGGGTTGGAGTTTCCAGGTGTTACATATGTTGAAGGTGAGCACGTTAGCTAAAAATAGTGCGAAAAACACACCAACTCACCCGTGAGTATGCATGGAAAGTTTGGGGTGTGTAGATTTCATGGTGTTGGCGCAATTTGGTTCACAAAAAACAAACATACACAAAGTCTGCTTCATTGATTTCGATTCATACTTCTATTTTTTTTGTCTTGGAATGTGTTTTTGTACACGGTTTCTCCACGTTAATTTCACTAATTTAGTTTATTTGGAATACAGTACAGTACTTGCTCTTTGGTTCTTTCGGTAAAGTCACGTAGGTAGAAATAAAATAAAACAAAGCTTCAAATCAAGATAATACAGTACTTATTTCAATTGTGATGTTTTATATTTTAGTTTGCCGTTTACATAACCCCGTTATTTAGGTAAGGCTTAAGTATTGAATATCGCCGTTTTTGCTTTCGCGCTGCACTTTCCAAGAATGTAATCTCCGCGCTATTCATGGTGCTCCTGTCTTTTCTGTCCATTGGGTACAGCACAGGAGTACGAATTATCAGCAGAAACTAAATCAATGCTTTCTTGATTTAATTAAGGCCGTCTGACCAACCGCCAATTGCTGTCCGTGGTGCTAACGTTTAAGAAAAACGCCACTTTTTTCAAATTTTCTTGCTGTGGTTTTCACGCCTGATGATGATATTGTTTTGTATTTTTATTATTTTAAAACTTGATTTGGCGCTTTCGTGACTGCAGGAATTATTTTTTTTGTTCTTTCGGTAAAGTCACGTAGAAATAGAAACTGTGATATTATGGAATTTATTATGTAATTTATTATTTTTTATTTCTACGTGACTTTACCGAAGGAACCAAAGAATAAATTGTATTATTTTATTATTTCCATTCTACGTGACTTTGCCGAAAGAACCAAGAACATGCCTATGGTACCGTAAAGAGGCATGGGGCTTTGGGTTGTCTATGTTGTCAATGTCTCTGCCTCTGCTCACATTCGTTGAGGATGTTTATGATTTTTTGCTGGCCCGGCTAAAGCTGCATGACCAGGAGTTAGAGACATTTCCTGTTCAACTTGGCTTGTGACGGAAATTCGGTCTGGCCCCATGCATACATAGCATCTTCAATAATTATGTAGTTTGAGAATATCACAATGGCCCTAGAAAAAACAAAACTTGTTTTCTTTTTTAGGCTACAGTCTACATTATAGACTGGCAGTACACTCACCGAGGTTAAGAACCAGGCTACCGTCTACATTATACACTGCTAGTACGCTCACCAAGGTTTTTGTCTCCATTATAGACTGCCAGTACACTCACCCAGCTTAATAAACATTGCTACAGTCTACATTATAGACTGCCAGTACACTAACTCCGACTAAGAACCAGGCTACAGTATTTATATTATTAACTTTATTTTTATTATTTTTATATCTACTAACTTTACCAAAACAACAAAAGAGTATAGGCGTGCAATTCGCATATGACTGTGTAAATATGCATTCCTCTGTATCTTGATAGTGATGTAGATGGTGTGGATATTTTTTTTCTGTCTGCAGCTGACGCTTCCTCTGCCTCTTTGCTCTGCAGAATTGATCTGATGGAGCAAAGGCACTCACCGCAGCTCGGTACAAAAAGGCATCAATGCAACCAGTGTGCATACAGGACGGATCGTCCTAGAAACCTGACACAGCACCAGAGAACACACACTGGTGAGAAGCCCTTCAAGTGCATTGTGTGTTGGAAGTCATTTGCATGTTCAACACATCTTCGGATCCACCAGAGAACTCACACAGGAGAGAAACCATTCAAGTGCACTGTGTGTTGGAAGTCATTTGCACAGTCAACACATCTTCAGATCCACCAGAGAACGCACACAGGAGATAAACCCTTCAAGTGCATTGTGTGTGGGAAGGCGTTTGCACTTTCATCTGCTCTCAAAAATCACCAGAGAACACACACAGGAGAGAAACCTTTCAAGTGTGCAGTGTGTGAGAAGGCATTTGCACGGTCATCAGTTCTTCAGACCCACCAGAGAACACACACGGGAGAGAAACCCTTCAAGTGCACTGTGTGTGACATGGCGTTTTCACAGTCATCAGCTCTTCAGACCCACCAGAGAACACACACGGGAGAGAAACCCTTCAAGTGCACTGTGTGTGAGATGGCATTTTCACAGTCATCAGTTCTTCAGACCCACCAGAGAACACACACGGGAGAGAAACCCTTCAGATGCACTCTGTGCGAGAAGGCCTTTGCAGAATCATCTACTCTTAAAATACACCAGAGAACACACACAGGAGAGAAACCCTTCAAGTGCAGTGTGTGTGAGAAGGCATTTTCAGTTTCATCTAGTCTTAAACAACACCAGAGAACACACACAGGAGATAAACCTTTTAAGTGCACTGTGTGTGAGAAGGCATTTGCACGGTCATCAGCACTTCAGACCCACCAGAGAACACACACAGGAGAGAAACCCTTCAAGTGCACTGTTTGTGAGACTGCGTTTGCACGTTCATCAAATCTTCAAAGACACCAGAAAACACACATGCATTGGAAGACCCCCAAGGAGTGGAGTCTGAAATCGGCTTGTGAAAGTCAAAGTGCTGCAATTAGCCCATCCCTCATGAAACAAGAACCAGAAGTAAATCCCAGTTTGGACACTTGGAAAGATATCATAGTGAAATATGAAGAGGCGAAGGTGAAATGTGAAGTGACAGTGAAGAGCGAAGAAGTGAACGTAAAATGTGAATATGAAGATTCAACTCCAAATTTGGATATTCACATCGATGGAGGCAACGTGAAGCAGGAGCAGAATTCTGAGGCAGAGCGAGGCATCTCCCAGCAGTTTGTGGACGTGGAGGTGTGGTTGGACTTCTTAGATAATACAAAGTCAAATGGAGACCCGGTAGATGTGTAAGCTTGAGACAATGAAGCTCCAATAGATTTACCTTTGTCACAGGCCTTTAATGAAAATAATGTGAAGGTGAACACTCAATTCTTAGGTTCAACCTGCAGAGTAAGAGTGGCCAGTATTTGTGGATCTGTGGGATGGGTAGATCTCTAATCAGGAGTGAGAGCCAATAAGCTCCCATTTGCATTTATATGGTGCTTGCTTAATTGCCTCAGCAACTCGGAGTTGTGTATCATATTACAAACACTCGAAGAGCACCCCCAAGTGGAAGCCTCTGTGTGGAATAAGGTGACCCTGCACCAGCCTGCATATGGGCATGAGTCTGTCAGTAGGGGGCAATAATTAATGTGTAATCTCTGTTAAGTAATTTCTGGATGATGTTTGAAATTACCCAAATTTTTACCATGACACCAGCATGCAATTACCTTTGCGTTTTGAGTGACTAGTATACTCTTTGGTTCTTTCGGTAAAGTCAAGTAGGTAGAAAAATAATAGATCACAACGTTTCGATCGCAACACAAGCAATGATAACGATTGCTTGTATTAAGATTGAAACGTCGTGATCGATTATTTTTCTACCTATGTGACTTTCCCGAAAGAACCAAAGAGTTTGGACTCCTGCAGTCACGAAAGCTTCAAATAAAGATTGACAATAGTATGTTTTACATCCACTGTTAATCAGACAGTGCATATTTTGGTTACTGTTACTGGAGTCGCCAGGGGTGCCTGTCGGATTTGAACCTCTGCAATAAATGTTTCTAACTGGCGCAGATGTTCCATTTAGAGGGGTCCACGTTTCACATGCCAAGAGAAGGGAGGGCATGACTGTGGCCGAGAAGACCCGAGCGACAGACCAGGTAGCTTCTACTCAGCATTGCGCAGCTGATGAAAATATAATGCCGCCAGACTGATTTGGACCACCCACAAACTCTGTACACACAGTGAAGGAAAAAAAGTATTTGATCCCCTGCTGATTTTGTACGTTTGCCCACTGACAAAGAAATGATCAGTCTATAATTTTAATGGTAGGTTTATTTTAACAGTGAGAGACGGAATAACAACAAAATCCAGAAAAACGCATGTCAAAAATGTTATAAATTGATTTGCATTTTAATGAGGGAAATAAATATTTGACCCCTCTGCAAAACATGACTTAGTGCTTGGTGGCAAAACCCTTGTTGGAAATTGCAGAGGTCAGACGTTTCTTGTAGTTGGCCACCAGGTTTGCATACATCTCATGAGGGATTTTGTCTCACTTCTCTTTGCAGGTTTCGAGGCTGATGTTTGGCAACTCGAACCTTCAGCTCCCTCCACAGATTTTCTTTGGGATTAAGGTCTGGAGACTGGCTAGGCCACTCCAGGACCTTAATGTGCTTCTTCTTGAGCCACTCCTTTGTTGCCTTGGCCATGTGTTTTGGGTCATTGTCATGCTAGAATACCCATCCACGACCCATTTTCAATGCCCTGGCTGAGGGAAGGAGGTTCTCACCCAAGATTTGACGGTACATGGCCCCGTCCATCGTCCCTTTGATGCGGCATAAAAACACCCCCAAAGCATAATGTTTCCACCTCCATGTTTGACGGTGGGGATGGTGTTCTTGGTCATGGGCAGCATTCCTCCTCCAAACACGGCGAGTTGAGTTGATGCGAAAGAGCTCCATTTTGGTCTCATCTGACCACAACACTTTCACCCAGTTGTCCTCCGAATCATTCAGATGTTCATTGGCAAACTTCAGACGGGCATGTATATGTGCTTTCTTGAGCAAGGGGACCTTGCGGGCGCTGCAGGATTTTAGTCCTTCACGGCGTAGTGTGTTACCAATTGTTTTCTTGGTGACTATGGTCCCAGCTGCTTTGAGATCATTGACAAGATCCTCCCGTGTAGTTCTGGGCTGATTCCTCACCGTTCACATGATCATTGCAACTCCGCGAGGTGAGATCTTGATTGGAGCCCCAGGCTGAGGGAGATTGACAGTTCTTTTGTGTTTTTTCCATTTGCGAATAATCGCACCAACTGTTGTCACCTTCTCACCAAGCTGCTTGGCAATGGTCTTGTAGCCCATTCCAGCCTTGTTTAGGTCTACAATCTTGTCCCTGACATCCTTGGAGAGCTCTTTCGTCTTGGCCATGGTGGAGAGTTTGGAATCTGATTGATTTCTTCTGTGGACTGGTGTCTTTTATACAGGTAACAAGCTGAGATTAGGAGCACTCTCTTTAAGAGTGTGGGAGCCAGAAATCTTTCTGATTGAGAGGGGGTCAAATACTTATTTCCCTCATTAAAATGCAAATCAATTTATAACATTTTTGACATGCGTTTTTCTGGATTTTTTCTTATTCTCTCTCACTGTTCAAATAAACCTACAATTAAAATTATAGACTGATCATTTCTTTGTCAGTGGGCAAACGTACAAAATCAGCAGGGGATAAAATACGTTTTTTCCCTCACTGTACGCAGTGTAGGCATGTTGTGTGCACACTGTTCACGCACAGTGTGTGCACACAATGTATCCACAAGGTGTGCACAGCACCTGCACAGTGTACACACGTGAACAAGAACAACAACCGCCATTCACAACCAAGTGGTGGTGACGTCGCCACGGTACTTATGCCAGGCTGTGCACGTTCAGGCTACGTGAACTGTCGAACGCGCACCGGTAGGAGGTCACGGGGCAGACCCAGGTGCCATGGGTCAACTGATGGAGATGACGGCCGATGCACCACCTGTGCCTCCCCCTACTGTGCCAACACCGTGTACACACAGTGTACATAGACACACAGTGTATACACAATGTTAACATTGTTGTTGAGCTCACGCACCCAAAGGGTCTGTTAAAGAGAGGGAGCAATGGAAAAACAATCTAAGTGAACTTAAACTCAAACCTCCCTCGGTCTCTGACGTCATCACTCCACATGACCTCGGCATGAGATGCCAGGCGGTGGTGTTCCTCGCTAGTAACGTCATGTGACCAAGGTATTCACCCCCCCCCCCCTCCACTGTGCTTTTAAGCGTGACATCACGTCTGGTTGGTGACCGCCGATTTTCGATCCAGCAAAATCCTGCTCTGGGCAAAGCTCCGCCAAGTCACTGCCGGCTCATTAACATAATTTATTCTGAAATAATTGCGAGTTCATTGCAACGGGTTCAGCAGTTATGCCCCATCACTCCGACATGGACCTGGCTCATTAAAATGTTTTATTAAGTTACTCTGCGGCTCATTGGGGAAGTGGTGTTTCCCTCCAAGTGATGTCATGTCACCTGCTGCCGCGTGGTGTCATGAGATCAGGAAACTGATGCTCCGTGCGGGCACTCGCATCGGAGGTGAGACGTTCACATCGTGGTTGTTGTGGTAGTTTTCCCAGGTAGAGCCTCCCTCCTTTCTCGTAGGGATATCAATTGAGTAGCAGCGAGTATGGAATAGATGTCCAGGTTGGAACATTACAACGCGCGGGCCTAGCCGTGCGGGGGCTTGCCTCTTGCCCTTGCCTGATTGCATTTGCTTTAAATCTCTGCTTAAGTTTAATTTGTCTTCACCAGGTTCACTACTTTGAAACTTTTTTTCTTCCAAATATTTCTACAGTTTTTAATTTTACCAGGCATAGCCCACGTGAGCTATACCGCTCTTTTTCAGAAGCAACCTGCCCACAACAAAGTGGCTTATCAACGTGTGGAAATGTATATCGGTCAAATACTTTAAACGCGTGGTGATGTTGACTCTAAATGTGGGGGGAAAAACCAAAGGATGTGGAGCGAAAATCGGAGGATCCGGAGGAAAATCCACGCGACCACTGTTGTATATGTCGGTTGTGAAAATTTTGATGAAAATAATAAAAATTTAATGAAATTTGAAATTCGTGTCATTTTCCGAAATTATGTAAATTGCACTTGCTTTATGCTAATTTGAGAGAAAACCGTATACATTTATGCGAGTGGGTGTGATTATGCAAATACAAGTCGTTACGATAATCAGGCTCCGCCTCGCTGACGAGAGTCGGATTATCAATCGGGATCATATAATTAATCGTATGAGGTTATGCCAGTGTGATGCAAGGATGCCAGAGTAACTCGCTCGTTTAACTTCATATTAATGCTCGGTAATATAATTATTCTCGCTTTAACATTTACTGAGTGTATTAGTGTGTTTATGTCAGGTCACCAAACTCGAATCTCAACGCAGAATACAGTTCTTATAAATAAGATTATTACGCATGAAATCAGGAAAGAACACGCAGACACTTTTGTGCTAAGCAATTTTAATTCTCAACAAAACCTTAATTCTATGATACTAGCGGTAAGTACCCGGTGTAGCCGGGGTAAAAAAATATATTTTAGAACTACTCTTAAAAACCTTACATATACTTACACAGATACTAAGATATTGTGAAAGCCCGGTGGGCCATTTGTCCATTTCACCAACATCTTTTTAAGAGGCTTGCAAAAGTCCAAAAAGTAAAAGAAAGTGTGGGGTAAATAGTTGATCTAAAAGGTTTCCGAAAATTGTGGACACCTCCCCCCTCTCAAAAATATATATTTACCCCCGCGTTGGTATCTATATCTACACACCCTACATACAACAGAGTAAGTAGTATCTCTTGACTATGTAGTTGTATATACTGACTGTACAGTAGTATCTACTGAGCCAGTAGTAGCTACTGACTGTAGTAGTATTTGCTGATTGGAGCAGTAACTACTGACCGTAGTAGTATTTACTGGGCCTACAGTAGTGTCTACCGACTATAGTAGTAACGACTAACTGTATAGTAGTATCTGCTGACTCTATAGTAGTATCCACTGACTATAGTAGTAGTTTTTTTGTTTTTACAGCTTTATTTTGGTGATTCGAAAACATATGGTTAATATAAATTGTCTTGTGATTGTTGTTGTTGGCTTGCACCACATTGATTTTTGCACACAGCGTTTTAATACGTTTTTTTGTGTGGAATATTTGCTGGTTTATTCCAGAATGTTTCTGTTACGCGTTGTTGCTTTAAGATGTTCTGTGTTC